GGCCTGGCAAAAGGGACAATAAGACTTTTTCAGGCGAAGGTTGCAACGTGTCTCCATACATATGATTATAAACCGTAAACATTTTCTGCCAAAACAAAAAGATCAAGGGACATTCCCACCAAATATATAAAGAAGTGATTTATCTTGGTCTGTTTTTTTTTTTTACATCTCAAAAACCTGGCATTTTTACAGGGGTGTGTAGACTTTTTATATCCACTTTATATAGTTGTATATTATGTGACTAAAAATAAAATTTTTAGTCACGTAAGAGATTATGAGATTGTTACAGTTCCTGAGCCTAAGATTATTACAGTTCCACCAGACAGCACAGCCAGCCTGGTGACCTGACTTTTCTTTATTGCAATTAAGCAATACAGCTAGGTCACCTTCCTGCCCGCTATATGCTGACTTTGGGTCACAGGAGTAGGTTAGTAGATGTAAAATAACTTTAGAAGTGACATAAATATGTTAAAGCTTATATGAGATTATGGTGATTGGCTTTACATATACTTTAAGACACTTTAGCAGTTAAGTGTTGGACTTAGGGTGAGGGTTAAGTGTTAGGGGATGGCTTAGAATTAGGGACACCTTTATGACTTAGGGACAGTTAGGGTAGCTGCAGGATTTACACCTGCTTTTTACCCTGTGAGCTCCACACCTAAAATTGCCAGCACTGCGATCTAATCTACCATCCAAACAAGGGTGCAGGAGATCAGCAGCAGAGGGGAGGCCTGGCATTAGGACAGCAATCTGCCAGGGTGCTCATTAATCTCTGTATTGTCTTGGCAAGGACACTTGGTTCTTTATTCCTCCTTCTCTGCTGGTATACATACTGCCCATGTATTTTGACCTTTCCCTGCTGACGCGTAACCATAGTCAGTATCAAGAGCTTACTATTGAACTTCCTTTGCTGTTCTTCATTTCCCATCTCAGCATTTCAGATCATGAGATATTTTATTATAATTTCCTTATAGAGCCTAATTGCAGAACACTCACATCATAAAGTGTTCTAATACTGCATTTTGCAGGATTTTTCTTTCCAATCTTCATATCTCTACTGGAAAACTGCAAATTGCTCTAGTCTCTGCAGTGTTATATTTTCTGCTGCATATACAGCAGATGGCACTACAAACCACCTAAACAGTATTCATACCTAGACACTAACAATACGCTGTATCAGAAAATGTATGTAGCTGTAGCAGATTGTAATGCAGTGTCAACACTAACAAATATAGTATGTACGAACATAAATATGTTTTAAAATAAGATCCATTATGTTACAGAGCTTGTGTAGGCAGTGTACTTTGGAATTCTACATTTGGTGTGTGCATATACTGTATATGATAATTTTGTTGATTAAAGAAATCCTGTAATTTATATTAAATTCTTAAGACTTTTTGCCTATAGAACCCTGGTGCCCAATGTCATTTCTCATTTTAAAGAAAATGTGTCATGAGCGATGCATTGAAACTGATAGTGCTGATCTTTCCTTCCAAAAACAGGATTTTTGTACTTACTGTAAAATCAATTTCTTCAAGTTCAATAAGGGACACAAGATCAGTAGGTGTTCTGATACAACTGGGTTATACTGCTGCCTTTAGGAGGATTTGGACACTGGCAAACAAAAAAGCCAATGGCCAGCCAGGTTTAATCCCTCCCACTCACATCAAGGTTCAGTTTTATATAAAAGCTGTACTTAGGAATAGATCACAAAAAGAGAGGGATGGGACTTTAATGTACTCCTACAAGCAGATTTTACAGTAAGTACAAAAGTACAAAAGTAAAGTTTGTTTGTTCATTAAGGAACACAGGATCAGTAGTTATTTAAATAGAACTGGAATATCCACAATAACTCCAACTGGGGGGGGGGTGGACAACACAGCAAACAAAATGCTAACAGGCCCACATAATAAAAACAGAATAACACTGAGGGCAGTCTGATGCTCACAGAGCTGCCTGAAGGACCTTATGCTTGAAGCTGGGATGAAAGGAAGCCTGAAAATCCACCTAGTAAAACTGAGAGAACATGTAAACTGAATGCAAAGCCTGATGCCTAAAAGCCCAAGAGGCACCCATAGACCTAGTAGAATGCACCTCGACAGGGAAAGGTGGAAGCTTATCCTTGGACAGTGATCTGTCTGAGCCACTAAGAAATAGTGGAATGAGAAGCTGATTCTCCTTCATGAGTACCATCAGGAGTGACAAAAAGAGTGTCAGTCTTTCGAATGGAATCAGTAGCAAAGGAGTAATCTGAACTACATCCAGGCAATGAAGGAAAATATCCTTTTGATGTACTAGAGCCAGACAAAGAAATAGAACAACAATGTACTGTTTAAGGTGAAGGGCCGAAACTATCTTAGGAAGGAGGCTGTAGGCCTCAATACTACCTTATCCTTGTGTAAAAGCAAAAAGGGTTCTTTACAAGATAAGGCTGCTTGCTCAGACTCACATCTTGCAAGGGTGATGGCCACACGTAATGTGACTTTGTGAGTGAGGGTGGAAAGGGTAATATCTCTAATAGGTTCAAAAGGTGGTCATTGAGGGACTGAAAGAACCAAATTTGGATCCTGTGGAGTCACAGGATGTTGTAGCGGAGTTGCCACATGAGTGACACCCGATACAAAGGGCTTGACTAAACAAAGAGAGATTAGTGACATTTTGAATAAGATCGCAAGGGCCGTGATCTGGGTTTTGCTGGAGCTCAGGGCCAAATATTGATGTAAGCAAGATTTTAAGTAGGTTAGGATTTGTCCCATATAATAACCCCTGGGGTGAAGCTTTTAAAACCATGGGAACTACTAACTCGGAGACCTCTGTCTCTCCAGACCAGTTCTTCAACAGCCATGCCATATACCAGCTCCTTGAGTTAAAATCAGGTCAGTCTGAAAGTGCCCATGGGGTGTCTGCCAGGAGATTTATCAGGTTGGAGTAGCGCAGCCCCCTGCTTTAAGAGGGCCTTTTCCTTTAGAGTAGTTTCACTCCTATGAGTTTTGGTAACAAACATTTTACTACACATTACTGAAGTATACAGTAATGCACAGCACATTGTGTAGCGCGTTACAGCGCCATTCATTTAGAAAGGCACCTCACCACACAGTAAATTCTGTGCCATTGCCGGCTGGCAGGATTTTGAGAAACAGCTGTCAAGTTCCTACAAGCAGTTCCTGATCTTGCACATTGCTTACATTCTGAAGGATTGCAGGATGTGCCATCTTACCAGAATGTGCGCTATTACCACCACCTTATACCACACATGTCCATGTTCCATGACACCCCACCTTCTACTGACTGCTGATCCTCTGTTATCCAGTACCTACTGACCCTGACCCTCAGCCTCTGCATTCCCTCCCAGAATCCAGGGCCTGGAGCAGTGATGTGGGTCTTGCTTGTTTCTGTGGATCAGGTAAGTAGTGTACGTTCAGACCAGTGTAGCTTTTTTTAGGATTGTCTCTTATTTTACTTAAATGTTTTCTGTCTCATGTGATGTGCAATTTTCTCATGATTGGCACCATTTTTCTTTTTATTCAGCCTTTATTCAGTTTGCTGGCTTGCATGCTACATCTTCCCTTCAACCGTGCAGAACTGGCGAGTGGTATGTTGTCACTCACTTGTCACAGAGCCATTAATTCTCCTAACTGCTCCACTGCCTCATTGATCCTCTGTCTTTTCTTCATGCTCTCATGCTTTCAGGCTTCCATTCTCATCTAACGTTTGGTGCTTGAATTCAGTAGTAATTCTACATTTAAACCAGTCTGGCTACATGTGTGAAAGAATAAGGAATAATAATTAGAGGTTCTGTGCTGTGGTCTAGTGGTCAGTAACCAAGGTTCTGTGAGCATGGACAAATGAATATGTCATACGAGATGCAACTTGATGCGCAGTACATTGCAGCAAGGCTTAGCCGCTTTCCTTTATTCAGTAAGTACAAGAAAGTTTGCAACTATAACTTGTTGTCTTTCCCTTGCTGTCCTTCGAGAAATGTACTGGAATCAATACGTCTGCCATCTCAAATATCTTTGTTTCCTCATTGTCATCTGCAGACACAGGGCTTTCTGCATACAAACTTATATTAGTGAAAGACCTCATCCACGAGTGGTTATGTCCTAATAACTCCTCCTCATCTGACTTTCTTGGTTTTGCTTTTTGTTTGTACGGCTGATGATGCAAGAACCCCAAACTCTCCGCCTCAGACTGAGAGTGACGCCTGGGGTTCGTGACTGAGTGCCGTTTTAGATTCCTACCCTATAATCCTCGATTCCGCAGTTGTGATCCACCCAGTGGCGTAACAACCGGGGGGGGGGCAGCAGGGGCACGGGCCCCGGGCGAAAAGTGAAGGGGGGGCGCCGGCCGAAAATGCCACTTTCGGCTAAATGCCGAAAGTGACATTTTCCTGCCGTTTTGTCGGCGCGGCCGTGATTCCTTTCATCCCCGCTGGGACACAGAGCAGTGCATAGCAGGGATGAAAGGAATCAGAGAGAAAATGACAGCCGGCCGAGCGCTGCGGGACGAGCGCTGTGAGCGGCCGGTGTCTTTCCTCCCACACCGCTCGGCCGCCTATCACAGTGCAACAGAGCGGTGTGGGGGCGGAGACAGCCAGCGCTGTCACAGGAGGCTTGGCTCTCCTCTTGCAGCCTCCTATGGTGAGGTTGGAATTATATACTGAGATTCTAATGTACTTTCCTGATATATCTCTGAACGGGAGCGTATTGTATATAGTTACTGTTCTGCCAGTGGGGGTGGACTTTTATTCACTGTATGTGGGTTTATTATTATTATATTACTGAAAATAGTTTTAATTTATGGGGCGGTATTACAAAAATGATCCTCCCCAGGTGTCGCATATCCTAGATAGGCTACTGTGTATCCCCATAAATGAGGACGAGTTTACACTAACTACTACCGACTGGTATGGAGTTTATTTCAGTACAAGTGTTGGCGTTACATCTTACATTATCACTTAAAATTCCCTTTCCCTTATTTGCTGATTTTCCCACACACAGAAGGCGACGAGGAGGATGAAGATGAAGAAGATGAAGATGATGATGAGGTCGATGAAGACGAAGAAGAGGAGGAGGAGGATGACAAAGATAATGACTCCGTAGATGACAGCGCAGAAAAAGACTCCGACTTGCCTCTCTTTACCCTCCCTGGACTGTCCTCCCAAGAACCAATGGAAGATGATAACAATATCGCTCTCATAGATGGAGCGGTTTACCAAGTGCCTGACAGCATGGAGTGGGAGCAACAGAACCAAGGACTTGGTAAGTGGCAATGCTCTTAATTGTTTACAGTTGCTGGAAAAGTCTGTCTCGTCATGTAACATGTATATAATTCGAGTGGAAAGTGAAGACATTTGCATTAAAATGTTAGATTTATGGAACAGGTAATTACGGTATTAACATTTTTGAATAAACCTTAACAAGCAGTTCTAGGCAGTGAACTGCTAATGTTATCCAGCAACTCTGCTAGAGTTCACTCATTTTACTTTCTACTTATGTTAAAAAATGATTATAACATACAATTGCTACACAAATTTAATGCCAGTCTGTAGCTGCCGTAATTTTATACAACTGTCAACAATGTTAGGATGCATGAGGTCATATAATGTGAACTGTGGGCATATTTCCATGCCCAGAATACATAGTTGTGACCTATAGCTGCCCGTAGCAATGAATAGTTGTTGGCAGCTGTATGCGTGTTCATGCTGCTACTTGCACAAACATGTACCGTATTTTTCCATCTATAAGATGCCCCCATGTATAAGACACCCCCAACTTTTCTTACCCAAAATTCAGAAATCAATATTTTAAATGATATTATGCATCACACTTACCTCTGAGTCAATCACTTTATTCTCCGACATTACCGCTCTGGGCACTGGCTACACGCTCTCCCCAGCAACAGCTGACGTCGGGTACAAAAGATTTATGCTCGGATTGCAGAGACAAGATAACAGTTTTCCTCCACTCTCCCCAGCAACAGCTGACGTCCGGTACAAAAGATTTATGATTGGAGGAAAACTTATCTGGTCTCATCAATCCGAAGTTTCACTCGTGAGGCTAGTTTGCAGTGGTATCGGCACTTTCAGCAGTTCCGCAACCGCGGTTCTCCTCTCGGCCCCCGTGTATAAGATGCCCCTCTTTTTTTAGGTAAACATTTTTATGAAAAAGTAGCGTCTTATACACAGAAAAATGCGGTAATCTGCTGGACAGAGGCCTCCATGGGTACGGTCATCCATAAGAATAAAGGAGGCCATGCCGTGCCTGCGCAGTAGGAAGAGGACTCAGCTGGGAAGTTTTTCCTTGCAAAGGATAAGGTAAGTATGTTACCACGCCAGTTGCAGTTAAAGGGTTGGGGGGCTTTACTTAACCCCTTCACGACTGAGCTTGTTTTTAGTTTCTGTTCGTAAATGACTGACACACTTTTGACATCTTTGCTGTGTTATTCTTCCACATCAGTAATATACTTTCTTACAAAGTGCACCCACACATATTATATATTGTTTTTCAGAGGACAGATAGGGCTATATTTTCATATCTTATATGTGTACCGAACTCCTCACTTAGGACAAATAAAATAGAAAAAAAAATAGAAAAAAAACTTAAAAACAATTTTTCCACGGTTTTGATATGTAGTATTTTTTTGGGAAAAATAGCACAGCTTAAAAAAAATAAATTAAATACATTTATTTATTTGTCCTTTATTTGGAAAAACCTCACAATCCTAGGATTTTAGAAATGTTTCTGTACTTCTCAGCCTAAGACTAAAACTTAACATTTTAATCTTTTTTCTCTAAAAGCTAAAAGTGGTCACCTTGCATACAATGTCACTGTCACTAAGTGTCACACTTATTGACAGCGACATAAACATCACTGTCATGAGGGGGTTAAATTTAAAATGAACCCCTTAGGGTGAAAAACAAATTTGCAGATTTTCATTGTAATGGTTTAATTTTTATATTACTGATAGTATAAAAAAAATATTTAAATTATATAAATTTTTTATTTGATACATTTTATTTATTTTTACACTTTATTTTATTTTTTACACTTTTTTCATTATTTTTTAAAACTTTTTTTACATTTTGTTTTATTTAAATCATATCAAGCAGTCATTGTCAATTAATCTCACTATTACTGCTTGATAGGTTAATTAATTTTTGTTTATTATTAAACTACTTCAAATTTAAGAACAGCCAATAATAACCTTAGAGACACTGATCCTGCAGCATTTCAGGTTCAGGTGTCACTAAAGGTTTTCTGATCGTTCCAACCACGATCAGAAAACCTGCAACATTCTTTCAGAAATAGAAACATGTATCTAAATGTTTCTATTGCTGAAAGTTTAAGGGAGGTGGGGGGAGCCAGTATACATCTATACCAGCTGCCAGTATACATCTATACCAGCTGTCAATGAGAAAAGAGCTTAACTCTTTAATTAATGGATTCCTCAATACTGAGGCATCCATTAATGAATGGTAACTGCTGATTCTCAGTGGTTACCAGCCTTGCAGAGCTCCAAATGGCTGATCACGTACAGTGCACGTGAGCAGTCATTTGGGCACTTCGTGGTAGATGTACAGTGTATGTCTCCTGTCACGAAGGGGTTAAAGGACAGCCCTTGTCTTTTAAAGTGAACCTATGCTTTGCCCATGCAGCTTCACTGCAATCTAAGTTTTGTGCAATCAACTGCAGGCAGATTTCACATAGCTCCACATGCAGAATGTGTTGGTGTGTGCTAATTGAAGCCTGTGCTGTTCAACTTATTATCTGTTAATTTACTGTATCACCAGTTAGATTTAAACTTCCAAGGTATGTCTACATCTGATTGGTGGTTATGAGAAACTTGCTAGTAATGATAATTGTATAAATCAGGATTTATTAAGAGGTAGAAAGACTATTGTAGTGGGTGTGTTTGAGAATATATCTCCTGCATTACAAATAGGTTAGCAAAAGGGGGTTTGGGGATAGTCTAAATACCTTCAAATGGAGGTGACTGGGTCACTACAGCTAAGCCTGAAGCCCGGTAAGTAGCGTTTCATGTTCAGTAGTGACTGGCATGTTCCTTTTTAAAGCACGTGTGTCAAACTCAAGGCCCAGGGAGTGAATCCGGCCCACCAGGCCATTTCCTAGACTTCTACTTTCAGATCTAGGTATTATGTTATTACTAAAACTAGTGATAATCGAATGCAGAGGCAATTATGATAAAGATTAGATACATTTATATAGTCTTACAGATGCCTTTGAGGGCAACCATAATGTTGATGCGGCCCACGATTAAATTGAGTTTAGCACCCTTGCTTTAAAGGAAGACTTTTATGTATTTTCAAGGTCACATAGCGGTCTATTTATAAACAATTTGCAGTGCCAATGGCACTCTGTGAATGTTCTTTCTGTGCGAATGGATGCACAGAACAAACCATTGGTATATTTTCTTTGTCAGATGTATTTAGTCTTCTTGTAATACCCCATTATTGCTACTAGATGGCACAAAGGAGCATAGGAAATAATACTTATTCCCTATGCTCCTAGGCTCCATCTAGTAGTTGTAATGCAGTATTACAAGATGACATTTAAAAATACTGTTGTAATATTAATGCAATATTATATTGAACAATATTTTGTCCTTTTTTATACTTAGAAATACTAGTCACTTTATATTTTCACCTTATTTTATAAACTGTTGCGTAGTCAGTAGAGAAAAGTACATCTATTTGTATGCCCGACAATGTAATCTCCATGTTTGTGTGATGTTCATCCTTATTAATCAGATGCTCGATATACAACTTGCAGGAGGCATATATTCTGTTCTACTGCGTGTGGCCTAAGCTGGAAAGGTTTTTCATAGTGACACCCCCATTGGTCTCAGTTAGATTATATACATGTTGTAATTTTGATAAACTATGATCTTAAATTGACATTATTTGCATTATATGGTCACTGTAATATACCTTCTAAAATCTGTAAACCTGCAAAACATGAACAATGTAGGCTAACCGCCATCTATAAATGCCAGTTGCCTAATTTGAATGTGTGGCACGTGAAGCTAGAATTCTTGATCTGCATACTTGTTGTTTCGGATGAATGACTCAGAAAGTATTGAAGTCAGAGAATTACCATGACAACCAAGTAATCAGCATGTTCAGGACAGGTCAGCAGTCAAAGCCTATGTATTTCTCTCAGCATTGTTTCCTTTGTGTGTATGTACATCTGTCCTATGGCTCACACGCTACCACCTCCTGCTTCCTATTAGCCATTAATTACTTTGATGAGCAGCCAAGGTAACCAATAGAGCAGGGCTGGTGAATTAAAATTCAGGATGATCCAGTGAGTAAAATTTTCATGGAACAAAGGTCTGAATCGGGGTCTGGACCAAACACTCACTTAGTCCGTGTCTGTACTGCGGTCCCCCATTTTGGCTGCATTCACACCAGCAGCTGCCCTACAACGCATAGCTGCTGGTGTGTGTTTTCCCAGGTACAGTGCCGATACACTGATCCCTGTGCATTGCACTGTTTATTTTATTTTTTTGGGTAGAACTCCACCCCTTCCAGTTTACTTACACGCACATGCCCTACGCACACGTGTTTATTTGAATTAGATGGCAGGGGCAGCAGGGTTGATTTTAAAATTGTATTTTACTTTTTATTATTTTTTTACATTTTTATTCACCTTTTTTTTCCCAATGTTATTATTTTTTACTTTTTTTATCACTTTTTTGTTTTTTCCAGTTAGCTTTTGCTGTCACAAAGGGAATAACAAGTCTCCATATGACAGCATTTGGAGGTGACAGTTTCTCTTTATGACATAAGAGGTCTGTTAGACTCCTGGTGTCTCCCCTGCCCTCCAATAAGGGCCATCGAGCACAGGATTGTGCTTCATCATCTGTTCACCTGGCACTTCAGCTGGCTTCTGACAGTTGTAAAGCAGGAAGCTCTGAGAGCATAGTGCACCATGCTTTATTCAGCACAGAGCCGATTGGGGAACAGACGTTAATTGGTCTGCTCCCACTCTCCATCCTGACACCCTCTGCTATGGTTCCTGGCCCCCTAGAGGAGTGGGGGGTGTGCAGGGGGTTTCTATCAACAAATGACTGAAGCGCGGGGGGACCTGCGTTAGGTTATGTCTGGCAGTGGAAACACCAGCCTTGGAAGCCGGTGTATCCACTGTCAGGCTGCCATAACCCAGTGTAGGTTGGTGATTACAATCTGGACAGAACCAGCACTCGGTCCATGTCCACGGCCTGCCGTTTAGGGACCCCT